TCTCTAGTAAGGTAGCGATCACGGCGAGGAAGCTTAATAGTCTGAACAAGTATCAGAGCCACGAGGTTGAATGCAACAGCACTCAGTGTCACCACATCCATCAGGAAGAGTCTGAAATGTTTGCGACTTGGTTATGTCATGTCCGCTTACATAAGTACTAATTACTACTTTTGGGTACAAAATAAACACTAGAGCCTCATTCAAACCGCTCCTCACAGTAACTTTCAGATGCTAGTATTGTACTCATCTCGTGTAACAGACACTCAGGGACTGGGGGAACATTTCTCCACCAATGAATTCACCACAATCCTGTTAGATTGTGGTGTGGGACACCGCGGTCTCATTTGTAGTACTATGTACCATATCTCTCGGCTTCTTGCAATCTACATCGTAAGTGGATAGTGTTGACTGGCATGATGTCCCGACTCCCCGACACAAGTTAGTACTTGTTACGTGGTGCTACATTCATCAACTGTACAGTTTTTCCAAAGGGTTCCCACACATCAACCAGGGTGTGGGCGCCTGAATGTTTGGAACCGCCGAAACCCTTCTTCCTGATAACGTGGGAGTCGGGGAATGTACGTTCAAACTTTTAACATTTATTCTGTCCATGATGCGACATACCGCCCTTTGACGTACCCTAGTTGATCAGGATGTACCCTTGACTTGAAGACCTGTTCATTCGGGATGCTGCCAATAAACATACGGGCGTATTCATCATGATCCATAAACAACAAATACATCGCAGGTCAGACCTTTGCTATGACTATAACCTTACCCCGAAGTAAGTTAGGCTTTTCAAGCCGGTTTTTTGATTCGTAAATCTGATATAGGCTAGTAATTCCAGTGGATTCTCCGAGATGATAGGCCTCACTTCGGTGCTGCTCTGCCACTTTGCACTAACACGTATTGCCTCTCGCGGCGAGACCTTCTCTCCTTTGCCGCCGTCTGCGAACCCATTCCATGCCACTCCCGTCATTGCTATCACCTCCTGCTAAATAAGATACACCCGCACCATCTTTCCTTTCCCTAGCACCATCACTGACCTTCTGGGAGTGACCGTCTGAAAGTAGGGCAGGGGTTCCCTTGGCGAGGGCGGAATACTTTGAATCGCTGCTGCAGCTGATGCTACCCATGCCGCCGTACCCCCATTCCACAAACTCGGGTTCATCGCGCACGTTTGCAAAGAGATTTGTGAGTGGTCGGCGCTTTGAACCGTAGATGCGTCCGTTGAGCATGTGCATGCCACTTGTGTGGACTTTTGGGCGCGTTGAAGGGGAGGTGGGTGGGAAGGAGCTGGAACTGGGGCTGGGGAAGTGGTTCTGGGGCATCGCATGGTGGTCACCACCTGAGCAGAGGGAGTTGGTGGAGGGAGCGGTGGAGAAACATCTTGGTTGATTGTCATTGGAGGGGATGGGGATAGACGCAGATCGGGAGAGTGGGGCACCAAAGTCATACGGTTGAGGATCATGAGCGGTTGAGTCAGTGGATGACCGCTTGAACAAGTTGAATTGGCGGGAAAGGGATGACTTTGGTTTTGATTTGGAGGATGCATTGCGTTGGACGTCGACGATGTCGGAGGACAGTGACTCGGAAGAGAGTGCGTGCGAGTGGGAGTCCATGATGGGATTTGAATTGTCAACTTGAGCGGTGGGCTCAGGAAGAGGTGCGAATCTAATGTGACGCATCGGAACGCTGGCGTTGTGCATGTGCGAGCAAGAAGAGTTACTTGCTCTCGAGGGTGACACGGCGAGGACAGGTGACTGGGTAGGTGAGCGTAAAACAGCGGTCATGATGTTGGGTGGAGCTCGAAGAAAGTTAACATGAATTGGGAGGTCCGAGTTCAAAAACTAAATAATGAATTGAATCCTCAAGAGGCGGAGCGTGACTCAGTCCCCGGGGTACAATAACCGCCAGCTGCTGCTTAAGATCCGAGTCCAGATTATCTCTTGCCCAAGACTAAATTGATTTGCTTCCGCTATCTAGCACGCCCTAGTATGCATATCTTCTGATCTAGTACTGTGACAAGCATCGAGGTAACGTTATCGAGCATGTATAAAAGTTCAACTACTGATGTGCAGAGTAACCTAGGGATAAAAGTAGTCTGGCCTATAGCTATCAGCCACCGTAACCGGCGGTGTCAACGTGGGCAACATCCTTCTCTTCCCTCCACACGAGAACCACGCTGACTCAAATATTGGAGCACTTCGAAACTCAGCTATTAACACACCCTCCCAGTATGTACTATTAGGTCCAGCACCGGCTAAACCTAAAGTACCCATCTACCCCGCGCTTGTTCGTTGGCAGTGTCGTCATCACTATAATTGTCCACATCTAGAACTTCCTCGAAGGCTCGAACTGTTCACCCATGTGCAATGGCACCGCACAAACCGCCAAGAGTTCAATATTCCTCTTATAAGCGGTACCCCTGCAGATGTTCAGCAAATCCCTCGAGATCCGAGTCTCAGACCTAGAACTTTGTCACGCCCATCCGAAATGTTCGAACCCTTGGTAATGCGTGGTTATCGCGCGGTCTCATGACCCAATATTACTTCGTATCTCGTAATGTCCGATTCTTCTCTGTCATAAGATCTAAAATATGATCCCGCATTATAGGATCGCTTTCACGGAACAGTTTACAGCCTAAGTCAAATAGCCTCATTTTTGGACATGACTCGTTGACTGTCTAAAATGTGGCGCGAGCAACTTTGCATGTTTCACATTCTCGACTCACTGTGCTTGGCGATCCTATTATTGTACCATCAAAAACTGGGCGGCTCCTTTCGTTCGTTCCCTAGGGGCATCATGACTTCAATTGAAACCGTGGACAATTCGAAGTAGACGTTATTTCCTCTCTGCACTGCATCACCTCAGTACACCACCCGCAGCTTGGCTGTCAAGCAAAGTTCAGGCAGTGAGTGCCACATTTAGTCGACATGGTCAATCCGAGTGCTTCTTAGTCGCCTGGTGACGTCGGTTCTCCTAGCGTATCAGCGTCTGGGCGCTAAGCTGGCAGAGTCAGGTGTTGGCCATGCGGAGCGAATTCTCGCCATTTCCACCCGATCCACTTGCGAATGTCGATGCAGCTTGGCGGACATCGTGCGAGTTCCTTATGTCGACGGAATCAATCCATATCGTCCTCATTATCGCTGCACCACTTCAGCCCAGTGGCAACCTTGACATTACACACATCATGTTCTTGGCCTTGTCAAAGTAAAGTTACCAGATAGCGTCCAATTTCTTGTTGGTGCAGTATGTTTAATAAACCCCAATGTGACGATTCGTTCCCACCAACATCCAGAGGTGCAGGTCAGGTGTTTGGAACACCAAATTCATTGTCGCCTTTTCGAGCGGAGGAGGTCCAACTGCAAGCGTTCCTTCAAACAGTTGACACCATTTGCCACCATCAGAAGTCTTCGGCAGAATAACCTATGGCAACACTTCAGGAACTGCTCGTCGTTGATCTCTTTACCAGCCGCCCTGTCTCGTAAGTATACTACTGCCTGTCGTAGTTGTATAAGGCGGGCCGGACGACATGCCTCCCGCGAAAGACTGCCATCAGTCACAAATATTTTATTTTGGCGAAAAAAACACACCGATTCCCATGTCATTTTTGACAGATTTTATTTATTTAGCTATGCAGCACTTAGAGCATGCAAGCTTCATTCTGCATCGGGGAAAATTTCCACCATGGAGGTGCCATACATTCCTGTCAGGTTCCTCGCCGCCCATCAGCCTCAGAGCGATGCTGACCATAACGAGCGTGGGGTTACTGCACAGCCGCCATATCCTACGACAACAAAGTCCAACATGCTTGAGAAGGCCGTTGCATTTCTGACACAAATTCAGCGGTTGTCGCATCAATGTTTCCATGTCGTTGTCAAACCTAGCTCCTAAGTTCCACAACTGGTAGTCACTCGATATCCATTCCTGCAAGTCATGCCAGTTGGTATGAGAACAAACCGAGGCCGAGTGTTAAGAACCATTCAGAAAAAAGGAACAAACGAGCAATATTTAAATGTTGAAGTAGCCTAGGACATCGCGGGACGTAACCAATTTGCTCCATTCTTGGGACCGCAAGCGTAACAGCGTTCAGAAAACTAGTGAACAGTGCACGGGTGAAAGTGGACATACTAGATTCAAAAAATTAGCAAATCTCGAGCGGACGTGGCACCACAGACGGACGCACAAAATGGTGATTCAGGGTCACTTCAAGCTGAGAGTCCATTAATATCACTACGACATGGTAATCCCATTTCAGCAGTGTCACTGATCAGAATCTAGATGGTTTACTAGATGTCGGTGGTGGATATAGTGCTGCAGGTGAGGTTGACAGCCTGACAGCTTGCAGTGGAGACTCGGCTTCGAAGAACAGCCATGAATTATGATACGCGCCCGCGCTCCCCAGCAAGCGACACCAGTTGTCAACTTCATTGACTCGGAGATCGCCAGTCCAAGTCCGCGCCACGATGAGTTGTTACTTTTAGATGATTATACTCGGAGTCTTTCACACATGGAAGTCCTGCCCAATCTTGAAAAAAATACTAGAACGGGTTAGAACTGGTGCATCCCAACACGGCAAGCAGCGATAGGCATGTCAAGCCGATAAGTTATTAACAATGTCAAGGCCAGACAAAAAGCTGGATCCGAGCCTCTGTTTGATATATGGAGCGAAGAAACATAGTTGACTAACTCACATCTTCACTTTTGGTCATTCGGTTAATGTGCGCGTGACGTTGGTCGAATCCACAAGTTCTCTATACCTTAGATTGGTTCAATGTGGGGAGAGAACAAAATCAGGTCCGTCGATAATTTACGTAAATCGGCGAATTGCCATGGATCAGCACAGCACCCCACGGTGCGGTTAGATTTCAAGTCATTCAGAAGCGACTACGTAATTTTGTGTACATACAGTATTAGCCCCATACAGTTCGTGATCTACTTGCGCTTGCTAAAAATGATATTCTCGCACTATTCACGGTTTCTTTGTCGGAAGAAACTTATCTGTGACCAACAACAGACTTCGGTTGATAAGGCTCCTCCAAGTACTTAAGTTCTTCTGCGGTAAGAGTGATATTGATAGCGCCTGAAGAAGAATTATATCAGGATGTCTGCTCTTTGATTGCAGCACATACCGAGAAGATCCTGCAGGTTCTTAAGAGACGTTGTCCCAACGATTGGCGCTGAGACGATGTCTTGTGCCATCGACCAAGCAAGAGCTGTTTGCGCCATGCTGGCGCCTTTCTTCTTCGCAACTTCCTCGAGGCTATGGGTATCGCTTCAGAATCTGCTAGATCTAGGGGTGACACTATTCTCACCGGTTCATTATTTCTTTGTCAGATTCATGCTGGACGTATGAGTTGATGGCCCTATACGTTATTTTTATGGATCATTCATGAATAAATCCAGATGGTGACAACTAACAGGTCGGTCTTTCCACGAATTGTTTGCTGGCCAAGAGGACGGGTGAGCAGTCCTCGGGCAAGTGGTGACCAGGGGATGCATCCAACGCCAAACATCTAATATGATAATCAGGGAGCAAGGAAGAGACAAAAACAAATGAATCAAACCTTGAGTGTGGGGAACATCTCTCGTTCCTCTTCGCGATAGATCAGACTGTGGTGATTCTGCATGGAAATGAAAGGTGTAAGGTGGTTTGCGATCGCGTAATCTAAACGGATCCATGAGGTTAAATTTCGACTCCCTCACACCAAAGTTATGATCTCACTTTGCATTGCTTGGACTGAAGATGCATCGTAAGACCGGAAACATGCACAGAATGGATGTCAAAACGTACATTGGTAAGCCCAGCATGAAGACATCCCAATATACCGAACATAGCCAGCCTGCACGACGTCATGGAGAGCTTGCATCTAAGTATGATGCAGGTCGGTTAATAGATGCTGGAAGTGAGGTATGGCGCTGACATACCGTCTCTTCAATAGGCGTCTCTGTGTCAAAGCGATGGCCTGAAAATCAATCAACCTTGAATCTTTAGCCGAATACTGGGTCACGACAAACACTGCAAGACATCAACATAATCAAGTTGCAAACGCTCTAGACTCTTCTTGATGGATGCGAAAATGTGCTATTCGAGTGAGATCAGATAATGCAACAATTTGAACAAATGCCAACACACCTTGCGACTCAAACCCCTTTGATTAACGTAGCCTAGTTGATCAGGATGTGTACTTGACCTGAAGACCTTTTCACCCGGGGTGCGGCCAACAACATTATAGACCTAGAGGTTTACTTGTCAAGACCTGTCAACAACCAACACATTGCGGGTCTGACCTTTGTCATGACTACAATCTCATCCCGAGGTAAGTTGAGCTTTTTGATCGCGTTTCCAAGTACGACCTCAGAAAGTCCATTGGAGTACATCTAACCACAACAATGAGTGATTCGTGCCCAAGGTGAAGAGGTGTTCCATCTTACGTCTGCCGTGTCAAAGGTGTTGATGCCCGCGTCATAACTTCAATATTGATGGTAAATATACGCTTTGGGATTGGAGTTACGCGACAACAGCACTCACGCAGCTTTGATGTGGATAACGGCTTCTTCCTCTCCAAGAACCCAATCTTGCCACTCGCTGGTACCTATGTTGAAGAATCAGGCGACTTTGGTCATGTGCGCGAGTAAACACTCTACACACCATACTGCATTGTCCCCAAAATGATTTTGGAAACTTTGAGCCCAGAGTTGCCCAGGCGAACTTCATGGTAGGCGGTCTATTAGCAGTATCGATAAACGAATAACCAATTACATACCATAAGGCATTCCTTTCTGCGTGGTCGACATAATCGCTATTGGTTAGGTTGAGGGCAGAGACGCTATTCTGAGAGCTCAGCGCTCAGAGTTCACCGCTTTATAAATCATACGTTATCAGCGGCATAACAACGGCAAGTCGTTCACGGGATCTGCAAGATATCCTGGTTTGCCAGAAGAGCGGGAAATAAGGGATTGCTCTTATTTTTATTTGTGATCTGGCTTCAAGTTATTCCATCGGCCCGCGGCCGCCGCAGTGTGCTAGAATATTGCTGCGTACCGCGCTGGAAACAAATGTTGTGTTTGGTGAATAAGTGATCACGCGTGTAACTAAAAGGATGAGTAAGAGACATCACCGCAGTATAATTAAGAGTTACCTTGCGGGGCAAGGTCTATCTCGATGGAGCACTAGTCGATGATAAACATCAATAAATAATCACGTCGTACTAGCTCGGAACGCTCAGCCATGCATGAGGCATACTAGTATCACATCGAGTCTGTCATTGAGTGCATAAGTCGAGTCGGGTGGAAAGGTATCAACCAATGCATGATGAAGAAGAACAATAGTGAGTAAATCTCACGGGAGAGCAACTTATGTAACAGAAAAAAAAGGTATCCGGTGGGCAACGCCGATCCCTAGTAAGCATCAATTGAGGCACTTGCTATTCACTGCCTTTCAACTTATACTTTGCCTTTGGTCGCCGCACGGAGCATATTATTGAGCTGTAGCAGTATACCATTATTGAAAGATATTCGATACTACAAAGATACAACAGTCAATGAAATCGAGATTACAATCATCATAAAGTGGCATCAGCTTCGCCGGTTGCCATCGTATCCTTTACAATTTCTGCATCCATATGATTGGATTTTTCTTGCTTCGGGTCCGTGTCTTCAGGGGATACACTAACCCCAGTAGCGAAAGATTCCGCGAGGGAGCTCACTGTGGTTATGGCCATGTCCAATACTGCTTCAACACGCCTACGAACAGTGTCACTTGGACACGACACCACCTACAATAGGTTAATGGGTAGAGTGATGGAAATGTCAACGTCAATGCATACCAAGGTTATTAGATTTATGTATGCATCAGCTTCTCCTGAGTCATCCATCCGCACAATCAATGCCGGCTCGCTCTTTTCGCCTTGATCCTGATCTTGGTCTTGTGTGCCACCTACTTCGGGCATGTGCAACTCCACGTCATCGAAATGGGCATCCAAGAACCATGCAATCCGCTGAATTCTAGTGATAGACTGATCACTTTCATGATGGTCCGAGTGAGGGTGGTGAGTATGTGAATGTTGCTGCGAGGTTACTAAACAAACTTAACAACATCCGCGACAGATTATGCAATGCATCACTCACATTTCACAGAAGCAGGACTTTTGTCAATGCCCGTAATAAGAGCCAAAACAGAATCAGCAATCATGTCGTTACTTGCGGTTGAGTCCCACTCAAGCGTGAGTTCGTGTTCTGCAGTGTGTTTGACATCGACAGCACCCATAACCTATCAGGGGCCATCAGTTGGTGAACTTTATCTCCTTTGAATAGAATATTTCTTACCCGAATCACCTTCACGTCATCTTTGTCTAAACCCTCCTCGACACTACCATACATTCCTTCCAGATGCCACCGCACAAGATCCCAGCCCACGCCAAGGACTATCTTCTGTCGCTGAGTAACAGTGCAGGTCGATAACCCAGTAAAGTCTTTCAGATCACGCGGATCAAGAAGGGTATAAGAATAATCCTTGGAAACAAGCAGCCCAGATATGACGTCATTTTCTTGAGGAGCCTTGTTAGCCAGAGTACCAATCGCCTAGATGCAATTGCGTCAAATTAACCCGCGTCATTCAAGATTAAACCTCGAGACCTTCGCTACACGTTCTCCGCGAAAGGACAGCTCGAGAGTTTCAAGGTTACGAGGGGTGTGGATCTTTACGTCCTCATCGCGGTCCTTGAATTTTGCAGTCATGGCTGCTTTGAGACGCCCCATTGCAGTTTGCTCGCCATGAACTAGAACCTTTGGCAACAGGTCTTGAGTAAGGCAACATCAGATTTGTACGGGTACTTACTACATGTTGAGCCTTCACTAGCTCGATGAATTCGGAATTCTGAGAGTAGTCCACGTGCGCACTAAAGGAAAGATAGTCGACTGAAATTTTCCGCGGGATAGTGTTGCCCTTCAGTCCAATAATCTCATCTGGTTCAGTCATAATGTCCTGATTTGGAAAAAAATTCAGAACCTTGCCACTCAAATTTAAAGGGTGGAAAAAATATGCCATTAAGAGACACGCGAATCGCGGTATAATTCTATACATAAGACAACTCACCCGAGCCAGTGTTCCTTCGATAGAGTATCCAGTGATAATGAGCCCATTTCGAGAGTCAGGCGCCCAGAGTTCGAGTAATTCACGGCTGGGTCCAGTTTGAAGAAAACCTGGACTTGCCAACACGACGCATGGCGGGCCATCCGCTATTTTCCGTTCCCAACCGCGTGGCTGTGGAAGATTGGATATATGCCTAGAACAGGGACGATCAGGATAACCTCCGAGAGCGTGATAACGTTCCACGCACTTGAATACAAATGGATTGTCCCGCTTCGCGAACCTCGAGCGAATGTTCGAGTTCATTGTATGTATGTAAGTCTGATATACAGCCATGCACTTGCGTGCCAGATTAGAAGCATAATAAATGGGCACATTGTGCAGGTCCGGATGCTTCTTCCAATATTCATCGAGGATAAGAAGCAGTTCCTGAGCTCGTCCGAGAGCAAAAGTGGGTAGAAGGACATGTCCTCCACGCCTAATAATTGAGTGAACGAGACTCGTAAAACGCAGCTCCTTCTCATCGCGACCTTCTAAGCTCTGAACGCCGTACGTACTTTCGACGATGAGGACATCCGGCCGAACCGGGGGAACTTCTGCCTTGACAAGATGTCGGTCTTCTTCGCGAGAATAGTCCCCTGTGTACAGAATCTTGAGGCCGGCTATATCAATAAGAAACATACATGCGCCCAATACATGGCCTGCATGATAAGGAATGAACGAAACTCCAGGACAAGGTGTAATCAATTGATGGGCAGACACCGGGATAATTGACGACAGCGACATGTTCATTTCAAGAGGAGTGAATAGAGCATCGGAGGTCGACGAACTGTCGTTTGTTTATTAGGCCAGTTATTTTTGCACCAAGGCCGAACCTACCTCGTTCGAACAAAATCCTGCATCATGAACTTATGCACAGCTTTTGTAGGATGCGTCATGTACACCTTACCCTTACCATCCCTGAAGTTGGTCTATCATAACCGGTCAAGCCTGAGTCGGTTAGGGATTAAATATAGCCTGCCTTTTCCATGATATATGTCAGGGCAGCAGCATGATCAAGGTGAAAGCTGAAGATCAAATTAAGTTGCCAAAATAATTTAGGGGACATATCGCGTACTGAGTGATCAAAATCGCATCTACCGTGCTCCAATCAAGTTCATCCACAAATGGGAGTGAAGCCATGCCGCTGTACGCAGGGTGCACTCCTGTGTCACAGACAATGGTTTTCCCCCTGTACTGCAGTACGCAGCAAGATCTTCCCACCTCTTGACCTGCACCAAGGAGCGTAACACTCAACGTTGGTGAGTCTGCCATAACCCTGCTCGCCCTTTAACGTCTGCGTCCAATTTGGTGATATGGCAATCTAAAACAGTCTCAAGGTTCACGGTATAGGCAGACTTAAGATCACTGAGAAAGCAGAAGAAATGATGGATTTCTCAACCTAGTAGTCACGGTAGTTTGCTCGAGCTGGGTTAGAAAATTACAAAGAATCATACTGACGTAAGCGACGACGACTTTGTTCGAGGACGTCGAAGGCTAACTTGAAAGAGTCAAGCATGGCCGTGGGCAAGACTAGCAAAACTCAAAATAAACGCGCAGTCCTTGGTTCCCAGGAAATCCGCAGGAGCGCAGCAAAATCTTCTTCAAAGAAGAAGCAAAAGCAGCGCTGCAGGGAACAAATCGATCAAGCTAGACATGCTCTTGATTCGAATGCTCAAAAACTATACGAGGTGCGTTCACATCTAATCGACATCCCTTGATCGTTGTTCCTTCTTTTTTATCATTGAAGCCATACGGTCCTGGATCAAAGCTGGCTCCCATGTGATGCTTACAAACTTATTTGCCAGGCCATCGGGGGACCTACAACCTTGCACTCCAATCGGCCTCAAGATGAACTTGAAATAGATCATGTAAAGGCTCTCACCGAGACCATCATGAGTCTTTGATTCATATCGCGTGCGAGGATTCTTACTCATGGTCCACATGTTCATTGAATGTTTGTATTGTAGGACGTCATACCCCGCAGCCTTTGCTCCGTACTGCACATGGACAAGTCATGCGTGTTCATACACGATTCTCTTTGTATGCATGTCCTCTTTCAGAGATGAACTCCAAATGATGATCGACAAGGTGAAGCTCCCGACCATTTATCATGTCTGGTGCCTGACTGTCATTGACTTTGGTTGCCTGTTTATATCAGGCGCGACGAGGAGTCGTCACCGTCATGAAGACAACCTACCTGAGGGTTGTGTAGCACTACACGTATACCGAGTTGCTTTTGATGGTCCGCAAAGTATCCAATTGAGATGATCTAAACGTTCGGTACTACAAATTTTACGACTAAAGTCAAAGTTGCGACAAGCATCGAAGCAACTTGAATATGGAAAAGCAGGTCCTTGCTGCACCTATCCTACTATGATACTGTACATACATCAGATCCAGCATGAAGCAGGGCAACCATAACCAACCAAACAACGAGTCTAGTCATATAATCTAATCTAAGCAACTAAACTAAATCCTCCCAATTCGCCTTAGGCGAGCTAATCGACAACTTCCCCTGTTGTTTTCGCTGCCTCAAATTCTTCACTTCCGTATTGATTAAATCTCGGAGACGCTCCAGGTCAAGACTGCGTTCTGCACGAGAGCCCATGAGCACGTTTCGCCAGATACCAGCTGCGGCGACGGAGTTGTCGATGTTGAGCTGCAT